CGAGAGTCGGGCGAGTGAGCGCGAGGCCGCGAGACAAAGCTGCCCGGGCGGCGGGGGCGGAGCGGGAGGGAGGCGGAGGGAGGCGGGCGGCGAGGGAGGAGGGGACACGGGACACCGAAAATATATTCCGAGGAGAGAGAAAACAGCTCCCCCTTTCCTGCTCCGGCAGGAAAAGCGGGCGGAAACGCACTCCCACCGAAGCCCCGCCGGGGAGGGCGCGGGGCGAGCCGCCCGCGCGGCGCGAACGTGCATCGGGGTGGGGCCCAACAATGGCCGGCCGCGCGCGCGCTCCTCGCCCAAGGGGCAGGAGACCCTCGGGCGGCCCGGCGGGGTGCAGGGGGCGAGGAGACGCCCCTGCCTCGCGCCGGCAATAAGCTAGGAGCCCTGACCTGCGCCCAAAGGCCACGAGGCGGCCGGACCCTTCTCTCAGGGAAAGGCTGTGTCCCGCCTGTCCCTCTAAAGGGACGCGAAGGAGCTGTACCCAAGCAGAGGACGGTGCTCCCTTGCCCCTCACTCCCACTTATCCCTATGCCCTTCCCCGATCACCAGATTCTCGACCCTCGAGACCTTCATTCCCGATCTCCCTGCTTGGCATTCTTGCCCCTTCTTTTTTTTTTCCAGGGTAAATTTGTCACTCGGTTATACTTGCGGGACGCGCTGAGCATTCCTTGGCTGCCCGGTCCCAAGTCTTTGGATGGAAACAAATTCCAAAACAGCTCCTCTAATTGCCTTGTGCTGAGTTTGTCACTCAGATGAACACTGTGTTTGGGGTCATAAGTACTCAGCCAAGTTCCGTGCCTAGAGATCGTTAAGGATCAATAAACAGGCATCTTCCAGCAACTTTGGATGCTTGTCAGTGGATAGACAATTTAATCCCGTTAACCAAGAATATACGGCCTATGCACAGCCATCATTTCTATCACATCACTCCGCTGTATAAAATCTTTCAATGGCTCCCTCTTACCTCACAGCAGTTTCTCAAACCTAAGTGCAGGGAGTCACCAGGAGGGACAGTAAAAGCTCTGATTGCTCTCCACCCCCCCACCCCCCACCACCACCTCCAGAGTTTCTGATTCAGTTGGTCTGGATAGGCCTTGAGAAATTGCCTTAGCATCCCTTTACTTTAAAATCCCTAACGTTAAAATCACCACTAGGAAGGCTCGTTAAAATTCCCACCCCCCACCACCACCTCCAGAGTTTCTGATTCAGTTGGTCTGGGATAGGCCTAAAACTTGCATTTTTAAGGAGCCTCTGTTACAGGGATCTCCTTTGAGAGCAGGAGCCTCACATGATAAAAATCCAAGGCCCTTGGTAACTAGGCTTCACAGGCATCACCATCATCATCCACCCATTCTTACTTTACATATGGTACCCAATTTAATCCCTCCTGTAGCCGGGGAGTGATGTTTTCCTTATTTTAGGGATGAAGAAACCAAAGTACTAAAAGATAAGTAAGGAATGTGCCTAAATTCCTTAAAGCATATTCTGGAAGCAGAGCTGGGATTCTCACCAGGTCAGCCTGGTCCCCAAAATCCAAGTCTCTGACTCAGCCAAGTTAGTATTACACCCAGAATACATTTAGCACTCTCCTGCTTCCCACCAGTTTGGTTTCCATGATTTTCCACCATGAGAATTCCTTTTAAGGCTAAGATACATTCAAGGACTCCTGGAATCCGTAGATTAGGAAAATGATAGTAACCAAAGTATTCTTGTAAATTTAGTAGTGCTTTTCAATGATTTTGTTTTTTAAACTATCAACAGCAACAGCATTATCTGTGAATGTAAAGTAAATAATTTACTCAGAGAGCTAGACTGGTGCACATGTGAACTTTCAGATCATATTATAGTAATATTTTAGTAGTGTTTATTATCAATAATAGATAACATGTATTGAGTCCAGACAAGATGCTGAGTCTCTTACAGATATTATCTCATTATTCTTCACATTAACTCCAAAAGGTGGGTACTCATATTTTTTCCCACTTAACACATTAAGAAACCAGTGTCTAAAGAAGTTAAGTGACTGGCTTGGTGTCCAGGCATGGCAAGGGTTCCTAAGACACCCTCCCTCTACAGGCTCACAGCCTCAGCTCCAAACTCATGACCCTGAAGCCTGCCTCAGAGCACCCCCTTCTCTGCCAGTCAAATTCTCCATCACCTCAAGCTCAACTCAGAAACCATCTCTTCCTTCTACAAGCTTGCTCTAAATCCCTCCCCTAAGCTGCAATTTGTCATTATCACCACTGTGACATATTTCCCACTTTCAAATTAAGTACCTTTTCTTGAAATGCCTACCCAGTGCAAGGCACTGACTCTGCCATTGCCCAAGATGCAAGGAAGATGAAGACAGCCTATCCTCAGAGCTTACAGTCTGATAATGGATATGAGAGTTTCATAAATAGCTATAGTTAATGGCAGAACATAATACATTCTGGCTGGATGGAAAGAGGTCCAGTAGAAAGTGTGCTGCATTGGATGTAAAAATGAACTGGATTTAACCCTAGTTCTCTTATCAGTTGTGCAGCCTTGCACATGTTGCTTAACTTCTGAGCTTCCATTTCCTATTCTGTGTCCCAGATGAAGACTGGAGGTAAAAAAAGACAGTTAAGAGGCCATCTCAAGGGCACAGCAGGTAGTAACATCTGAGGACAGGAGGTATGAGAGGTCTTAGGCCAGTAGACTCTCTCAAGACTTGGCATCTGATGCGATGCCAGAGGCAAAGGAGAGGGGTAAAACATTTGCATGTGGTTGGAGCCTTGTCCACATTGGGGAGGATACTGTCATGAACAGAGGAAAAGCTGGGAGTTGCTGTGTTGTGGTGGCAAAGGAAGTTTGGGTTTTGGACTCCGTGCAGAGTTAACTTTTCATACAGAAGCAGCATCCCCTGCCTAGCATGCAATTCTGCTCAATCAACAGGCACATGTTAGTTCAGGCTGCCACCATGAAATACCACAGACTGGGTGACTTAAATAACAGAAATGTATTTTCTCATAGTTCTGGAGGCTAGTAGATCAAGGTCTCAGATGATTGGGTTTCTGGTGAGAGCTCTCTTCCTGGCTGGCAGATGGCCACCTTCTCACTGTGTCCTCACATGAGCTTTCCTGAGTGCTAATACACAGAGAAAGGACAAGCTCTCTGGTGTCTCATCTTATAAGGACACTTATCCTATTGGATCAGGGCCCCACACTTAAGAGCTTATGAATTTAAACTTAATTTTATTTACTTATAGGCCCCATCTCCAAATACAGCCATACTGGGGCTGAGGGCTTCAAAATATGGAGGACACAAACATTCAGTTCATAGCAAACCACATGCAATATGCAATGCCAGGAAGTAGACATAAGTCATGGCCCTTGTCCTCAAGAATGTATTTGCGAACACAAAATAAACCCATCTGAAAAGATAATCAAAATAACAAATTGAAAAAAAACATACTAATTTGGCATTTTAGGCTGAAGGAAAAGTAGCTAACTTGGACAAAGAATAAGAAGTTGAAAGAATGTGGAAACTGGTCACGCTGGGTCAGAGGACTCAGTTTAGAGAACCCTGAGAAATAAAGCTAGATGACAGGTTATGTGGAACTAGAAGACAAAACTGAGGCATGGGCGATGTGGGATTAAAGACAGAACCCAGATTATCAATCAAGTCGAGGTTGAAACAGCTTAGCCTTGGCTTTCAAGGGCTCCAATGGCAGGTAGGAGCCCGTGGCATGAGGTCAGCAGGCCAAGGGATATAAATGTGCATCCTTCCGGGGTACAATCAACTCACACCCAGTCACTGAAATTCCAGGAGGGCCTTACCTATGCAAGAGGTCAAAAATGACAAGTCCCTGTACATCACTGTACATATTTCCTAGTTTTTTCTATCTTGTTAAAATTTTGGTGGAAATTGATTTTCAACTTCCGAATGGGGCAGGGCAAGGGGGCAGCAGAGCTGTGAAACTGAGCCTGAATATAACTTAAGGGCTTGGGGTCATAGAGGGCTTAGGTCAACTGGAAATAAATGACGTAAGTAGCAGTGAGCAAGGGGAATTGAGTCAAACAGAGGAAACAAGGGTGGGCTGTGTACAGGAAAAGCTCAGAAAGGAAAAGCCTAGGTTTAGGGGCCAAAGAGCTGAGTTCTCATTCTCTGTTAGACACGGTGTTGGCAAATGCTTACTGTCTCTAACCCTCAGTTCTCTAACGTGTGAGATTAGAGGATTGGGTGGAAATGATCAAAAGGTGCCTCAGGCCTTAGGGACTGTGATTTATGTAATCCTGGCTTCAACCCTGCAACTGCTCCTGCCTCTTAGCCAGAGTGGGAGAGGGTTGACTTGAGTGAGAGTTGATGAAATGTGTGGGACACTGTAGATTCGGCAGGAGAGCCTAGCCCTTTAAAGGCCATAGAAGGAGTCAGACCCTTCTCAGACTAGTGTATTAGTTGAATTAAAAGGAAGCAACTACAGGGTGGAAGGTGTGGGACACAGAAGCAGATCTAAGGGCGAC